TAGAGGAGGGTGGCTGGGGGGGGGATGTGAGGTGCACATCCTAGCACTACCGGAGACTGACAGCTCTGCTGCATTCCTTGCCCTTTCATCCAAGGAAGCCCCTTGTAAAAAAAAAACCTCAGGAGTTCAACTTGTGAGGTTTTTTTTTTTTTTACAAGGGGCTTCCTTGGATGAAAGGGCAAGGAATGCAGCAGAGCTGTCAGTCTCCGGTAGTGCTAGGATGTGCACCTCACATCCCCCCCCCCAGCCACCCTCCTCTACATTGGTAAAAGTAGCTAGAAATGAGTCTTTGTGAGACTCCAAATAAATGAGAGAATGGGGGGGGGGGAAGCGAAGGCAGAGGAAAGAGAGAAAAATTGTGGGCCTGCTGCCTGCAGAGCGTACAACCATAGAGTGTACGCCCAGAGTGGCCACTGCCAGAAGACTCGGCAGCCTACTTCCACAGAAAAAGTCATGCTGGGATGGCGGGGGTGGGCAGCAGCAGCGGAGATGCCCTGACTCTGCAGGGAGAGCTGGGCCAGAGCATCGTGAAGCTGGGAGGCACGCAATCGGAGAGCAGAACAGCTGCCCAGCAAACCCCCTCTCCAGCTGGGCACAATGCTGCTCACTGACCTAGCAGTATCCCGAAGGCGCCAAGCAATGCGAGCACTTTTGCCACCCGGTTCCCATGGCTTGGCGCCTTCAGGATACCACTAGGTTGGTGAGTGGCGCTCTGCCTGGCTGGATAGGGGGTTGTCCAAGGGGCTTATTTTCAGGGGGGCTTATATTTTTACCCACCTGAAAAATGTATCATGGCTTTAGTTTCAGGACATGTCGTATTTTCAGGCAAACATGGTATGCACCCACTTATGGGCAGCATAGCCAATTAGGTTCTGATTTGGCAGAAATACAGAAGGCATCACTCTGGATGCAGTCTCCAATTCAGTGTTAAAACTTGGGACAGTTTCCACGTTGATATGAACTTTTGATTCAACTGATTTTCTGGCTCCTTGGCATTCTGCCTGCTCCCCAAAGTTTCTACACATCTGAAACATCCTTTGAACCATGTACATATTGTTTTAAATGGGGGAGAGAGGCTGCTTTACAACTGATTTCATAGATAAATCATTTTCTTTAATCATCAACGGAAAAATGCAACATGAACTAAGGATGAGAAATGGAGAGCTAGCAATGACTAAACATTGTTTCACAAGTCTATGGATATTCTAAGTTATTCAGGTCATAGATGTCTGAAAGGTACTTTTACATAAAGGCAACGGGACTATTTTTTTCCCTGAGGAAGAAGTTTCATTTCTCATCTAAGAAACTTCATCAGTTGTGAATCATCATGATTGATGAAGCTTCTTGGATGCAGAAGCAAAATGTCTTCTTCCTTAAGAAAAGAATGGTCTAGTTCAGTGACGTGCGGTGAAGCTTCTGGCTGGTGAGGCAAAAAGAAAGAAAGTGGCCCCCCCCCCCCCCGCAGCAGGCTGGAGCGAGAGCTGCGGAGGCAAAAGACGAAGAGGGGTGGGGGGTGGGGTGTTTGCAGCCCTGGTTCCGTCTCCCAGCAGCCCCAGGAGGAAATGGCGAAGAGGGNAAGATGAAGCAAACAAAAATGTCCTGAAATGCAAGAAGCCGAAGGCAGCTAAATGATCCTCTGCTCTTATAATACTGAAAATAGCTGAAGAAAATCAGAAAGCAAAAGGCAATAAAAAGAAGAGCGACTGGCCTAACTGAATGCTGAATTATGGAGAAGGGACAGAAATAAGCACTGCAAAGAACTGCTTGTTTTCTTGAGCCTGGCCCAGAATCACTTGCTTGTGGGATGAGCAGGAGGGTGAGAGAAGGGAGGAAGGAACAAAGGGAGGAATTGAAAATAGCAAATAACAAAAGATTGATTTAAGAAAATTGTAGACGTCAAGGGAAGTTTTTTATTTTTTTGCAAAGTTACATAATGATAAAAGAGGCAAAAATCTACCAGAGAAAGTTTTTATTACTAATTTGGAGCCAGGCATTCCAGACAATGAAATTAAACGGGGCCTAGGAAATATTGCTAAAGACAAAAGTTGCAGGAGATGATCAAATTCTGATTAAACGATTTGGAATCCTAAAAATATAACGTAATTAAAGTGCTACATGTGGTTTGGAAAAAGGCAGCAGATTCTGGAAAAGATTTATGATCAGGATGAAAAAAGAATGGTGTTAAAGGAGGTTCAACTTACTGTACTGAACTGATTGAATTGATCTGATGCTAGTAAAATAATGCTCAAGATTGTGTAGTCCAGATTTCAACAAAACATTTAAAGAAAACTGCCAGATATACAAGCTAAACTCAAAAGAAGCAGGGACACTTGAGATCTAATTTCTAATATTCAATGAATAACAAAAGGCATCA